GACTAGTAGGGAGGATGGCCACCTTCTTCCTGCAGTGGGCGCCGTCTGTGCTCTGGAGGCAGCCATGATGACAAGTGTAGACAGTCAAAACCACACCGCCAAGGGTGAAGGCCATTCCAAGAGGCGGGCAGCTCAGAGAGGAGACTGAGTCTAGGGGAGGGCGGCTAGGAAAGCGGGCCAAACTTGTATATTATGATGTCTTCCATGTCTGGCTCCCTGGACAGATAAAGGCCCAATAGAGCAGGGACCCTCTCTATCTGGCACCGTCCTTAGGGCCTATAAGATTGCCACATAGTAGCAGCTCCACAGCTCTTTGTTGAATAAATGATGAATAAATGAATGAACTCTAACAAACAAGATTAAGGGAATCAATGTCTAGTGCAGAGCATGTGTGTGTGTGAAAAGGGGTGCTAATGACGGCATTTGTTCTTTGGAAGCAGGCCAGAACTTAAAGAGGGAGAGATCCAGCCAAGGCTTTCTTCCTGGGCTCCCAGAAGGAATTAAACATTAATTAAACATTAAACGTTCTCTCCCCACCTCAGCAAGATGTTGCTAGGAGATTGTCTAGACCAGTGCTTCTCAAACTTTAATGTGCACGCAGACCACCTGCGGATCTGGTTGAAAAGCAGATCCCAGACAGCAGGTCTGGGCGGGGCTGAGATTTTGCATTTCTAATGAGCTCCCAGGTGATGCTGATGCTGCTGGTCCAGGGCCCCACTTTGAGCAACAAAGTGGTAGTGGTGAGAATTAAGCCATGGCAGTGCCTGGCTGGGGTCCGAGCTCAGTAGTCATAAGCTGATGTGATTACAGCTGTGTCATCTTTCTAGCTGGGAACTGAAGAAGGAAGGTCCAAAGGCAGAGAAAGAGAGAGCAGGTCGGGGAAGAGAAGCTGTCAATTCAGGCAGGAGTGGACAGACCTTTTCCATAAAGGGCCAGATTTGAGATATTCTAGACTTACCTGGTCATGGGGTCTCTTACATCATGAAATGCCCACAGGCACTAGGTAACCAACAGGTGAGGCTGGACTCCAAAAGAGTGTGTTCACAGAACCTGCTGGGTGGCTACTGGCTTCACAACCCCTGAACTGGATCACTAGCCAATTAACTGATTAGTTCCACGTTAAGCAGCAGCCTTGTCTGCCTCGGATGGGAGGAGACATTTCCACGCTGCTTTGGGTTGAACGTTTTCCCCACAGCCTATGTGTTAAAAACTTAATCCCTTAATTTCTGGTGAACAGGTTTGAAAGGTGGGAGGTGATGAGGTCATGAGGCTCTGCCCTCATGAATGACTTAATGTCATCATCACGGGAGTGGGTTCGTTATCTCGAGAGTGGGCTGGTTGTAACAGTGAGTTGGCCCCGCTTGCACTCTCTCACTATGTGATGCTCTCTGCCATGTTATGACATGGAAACTAAGCTCTCACCAGATGCAGCCACTCGCTCTTGGACTTCCCAACCCCAGAACCCCAAATAAACTTCAGTTCTCAGCCTGTCCGTGGTATTCTGTTCTAGCAGCACAAAACACACTAAGACAGGTGCTCTCTCTCCCCATCACTGTCACAAACATGGGAGCTCGGTGTGCACAAGGCTGGAGCCCCACCTCAGTCAGCTCCTTGGTCTCATACCCCAGCAGCATTGCCAGGCACTGATGGAGATTGGAGATCCCCAAAGTAAAACAAACAGGAGATCACGATTGGGAGCAGTTGGCCCCCCAGCGCCCAGTGGCCCACCTCCTGCCTGTATCTGCAGTCTGAGAAGTGGGATCCGAACCACAGGCTGCCCTGTGCTCCCCTCCCCCAGACCCCACTCGCCCTCTCAGAGAATTGGTAACGTAATGAAACACATCTAAGGCCACAGACTTTTGGTTCTGCTTTGTGCATCTATTTATTTGTTTTTCTTTTCTCTTTGCTTGGGTTTACCTGGGAACCTTTTAATTGCGCCTTTTGATAAGTGCTCCTGGTTGACACTGAGGTGCGGCAGGCCCAGCCCTTCTCAGTTATTCAGGGAAGCCCTCCAAGGCTCAGCTATAATTAGAAGTCAATTAAATTAGAAACCATTCATATGGTTCTTGGAAGGCCTCCAGCCCTGCTGAGAGCCTCTGGCCCTATCCACAGACTCAGTGGAAACCTCTCTCTGCTAACCCCACCATCCTGAAGCCAAGTCCAGGGCTGCTGGGAGGGGGAACAGGCTCCTATCGGTTCCCTTTCAGGCCTTTGCTTGTACCCAAACTCCCGCCTCACCCGGCGGGCTGTAGGTCGCCCTTGCCTCCCCACCACCCCGACCTCCCGTCGCTGCCTGCCCCAGCTTGCTCTGTTGCTAGAAGGAAAACACCCAGCGAGTTCACCTCTGGGGTGGCTGGCTCCTCAATCTTGCCTCAGTCCATTTAGTGTTTTCCAAACGGTAAATGCAGCACTGAAGTGCACGTAGTGTGTGGGAAAAGGCAGTTTTTGAACCTCATCAAGAAGGTCTGGAAATAGAACCCTTCCCCAAAGCCACCTGGAGGTCTCCACCGAGTGAGACACCTCTGAGGTGACTGGGCCAACAGCCGGGGCCCAAGGAAAGACCCAGGACCGCCACTGTGCTTTGCCAGTGACCCTAGTCAGGTCTGTCCTCTGGGACCCCTGCCCCGGGGACCCCCTTCCCCTGCCTAAGAGCAGCCAGAGACACACGCTTTTTCCTTTATCACAGAATTCATACTCTCTGTTCTAGACCATTCAGACAATACAGACCTGCATAAAATAAAAAGTGAATGTTCCCTGGAATGCTCCCTCAGTCCTTGGCCACCCCCATCTGATTTCGGTTACTGCCAAAAAAAATCTTTGCTGGAAGTTCAGCAGGCATCACTCCAGACCTGCTTTCATGCATTTAGAAACTTTACAAATACACCCGGAGGCATTCTCCTGTATGATTTCTTTCTCACCCAACAACAGGTGGTACAGCCCTGCTTGGTGTTCCAGGAAACTGAAGTTCCTTTGGATTTTTCGTGGGTGTGCATTTGTTGCGATGATAAACAAGCATACTATCCTACAGGATCGAGGGCATGTGCTGTTGTACTCGGGAGGCAGGACGGGTGTGCTCCCCAGGGATCTCTGGAAGGCCGGCCGACTGGAAGCTCCCTTGCAGCCAATTAACTGATTAGTTCCACAAATTAAGCAGCAGCTTCTCTGCCTCGGATGGGAAGGGACATTTTCCACGCTGCTACGGTTTGAATGTTTTCCCCACAGTTTATGTGTTAAAAACACATACATACTTGGCATTGGGTGCATCCCCTAAAGGGCCATTCTCTTTCCAGAAATCTCCGTGAACAAGCCGTTAAGTCCTGGGGGATTTGGAAAAGAAGATTGTGGCTGTCGGTCCCCACTGACAGGGCCTCTGGTCTTTTCCTCTCCTCCGCCATTCCCTGGCTGCTGACTTACACAGCTCCCGCCTCCTTCTCCAACTTAATTTCTTTTTTTCTTTTCTTTTTTTTTTTTTTTTTTTTTGAGATGGAGTCTCGCTCAGTCGCCCAGGCTGGAGTGCAGTGGCGCGATCTTGGCTCACTGCAAGCTCTGTCTCCCGGGTTAACGCCATTCTCCTGCTTCGGCCTCCCGAGTAGCTGGGACTACAGGCACCCACTACCACGCCCGGCTAATTTTTTTTGTATTTTTAGTAGAGACAGAGTTTCACTGTGTTAGCCAGGATGGTCTCGATCTCCTGACCTCGTGATCCGCCCACCTCAGCTTCCCAAAATGTTGGGATTACAGGCATGAGCCACCATGCCCAGGCTCTCCAACTTAATTTCTTTATTTCCAATAAATAATCTTTGGCTACTTTTCTCCCTCATGCCTTTAGGATGTTGCAGGACTTTTCCAAAAGAAAGAAAAGAATAGGAGAAAGGGAGGGAAGTTTCCTGTGTATCATGGCATATGTTCATCACGGTATTTTTGTGTGCCTTATTGGGAATTAATTGGTTTTCATGACTAGTGGTGGCTTGCTAAGGACAAGAGGATGCTGAGGGTGAAAGGTCTTGGGGAGTTTGGGTTCCAGGGCCCAGTTGGGCTTCTGGTCTGAGTCAGTGGTTGATTCTAGAAGGTTCCTCACACAACCCAGCATCTAGAAGAGGACTTGCTGTTTTGTCATGGCAAGAGGACAGTGAACCAGAGTGCAGCCACTGGGGAATCTAGGCGACCACAAGTGCACATTATCTCTCTTTGTAGAGCCAGGCTAATTAATACCCAGACTCCCAAGTAAAATTGCTTTGTGTCAGAAACACAGGTCTCCATTCAGAAAGTGAAAAACCAAACAAGCAAAAAATAAATAAAAAAATAAAAAATAAAAAAATAAACCCACCTCTTCCTTCAAGGCAGTGCATTCGTGTAATATTAATAGTTGGTGAAAAGCATCAGAACACCTCAGCTGCAGCCATGCTCAGTCCCTTAAGTAGCTGTGTGACCCGGGGCAAGTCACTTAACCTCTCTGGGCTCCCACTATCTCAACTGTAAAGTTAGGTTGTTGGACTTGTCCACTTGGATGGACAACCTGTTCTTAACAGAGAGAGGGAAGAACCTTATGGTGGGGCTGGGAGAGCATTCAGAAGGGGCACAGACCAGAATCTGATTCCTGGCAGTCTCTCCCAGGGGTCCTCCTGTGTCCGGGGCCCAAAGGCCAGGACTGGCCTAGAGGACTCCAGACTTAAAGCTCATGTAAGGCTGGGTTTCTCCAAACCCTCTGAACACGAGAAACACAATTACTAACCTCAGGTTTAACCGTGGGCCCTCCATGTGCTCCCAGCCTTCTTTCAGGCTCCCTCCTGGGCGTGGCCGCGAGGCTGGAAAGGCCCCAGAATCAGCTCAAATGGCATGGGTACAGCTTCAGCTTCACGTCTGCCTTTTCTTTTAGGATGTATAGTTTCCCCTCTGTTTGCTGGAAGGCACTTTATATCCAGTGGGGTTAAATTACAGGTAGCCGGACCCCCGGTTGGGGGGCTACCGCCAGTGCCCAGCTAATGATGCATGTCTTTCAGGTAAGCCCTTGGGAGAGGATGGCCCATGTGGGGGACTACACGCAGACGCCCTGGCTCCCTGTCCTGGTGGTAAGTGGTCAGAGCCCCTCACTCTCACAGCGCCCTCATCCTGGTGATGGCTGGACTGTTTCTCAGCCTCCTCAGCCGTAAAATGGGAATGCTGGTCATAGTCCCTCCTTCACAGGGTTCTTCTGAGGGTGAAATGAAACCAGGCCTGCAAAGCACAGAACTTGGCCCCAAGCTGAAGTTAGATTGATTTCGTTGGTAGCTCCCTTCATAGGGTCTCAAGGATATAAACGCTCTTGAGTGCTTGTTTGTGGTGTGATACACACAGCCCAGTGTCTGTGTGATGAGCTCATGCTTAGGGGCCACACAGCTGAGAAAGACTTGAACGACTCAGACCCCCACCCCCATCCTCCTGGACATGCCGGCCTTCTGAGAAGCCACTGTATTAGAGGCTCAGTGGGGGACAGGGGCGCCTCCTCCATGACCTTGGCAAGTGCATTGACGAGGAGAATTCAGAGCAGGCCTTGATGGTGGGACGAGGCTTGGCCAGCAGGGGTGAGGCAGGGTGGTTCTAGTGGGGGCTGGCCGTGCCCAGGTGATCAACCAGGAGCCACTGGAGACTCAGCAGCAGTGAGCACTCACAAGCTGGCACCTTCCCAGACTGAGCCCCCACCACAGAGCACCCCCTTCCTATGTCAACCTTGGGCTCTTGGGGGAGTCACACATGTTTCTAAGGAGATATGGAGGCCACAACACCCCTCTTTGTTGGCAGGTGTCTCTGATGTGCTCGGCCCGAGCGGAATACTCAAACTGCGGCGAGAACGAATACTACAACCAGACTACGGGGCTGTGCCAGGAGTGCCCCCCTTGCGGGCCAGGGGAGGAGCCCTACCTGGTAAGGACCCAGCCCTCCTGGGGCCTCGTGCGCTCTCAGGGGAGGCCTCCTGCTTGCGGCATTGGTGCCCTGAGCCTGCATTGCTGTATGAGAGGTCGCCAGGGTGTATCAAACCAGCCAGTCACACTCCCTGGACGTTGAGATTGACGGCGAGAGCTGCCGTGAGCCCAGGAACGGCACTCTCCGGCTGAGCATTTGTAAACAGATTTTTCAGCAGTTCTGCAATGTTTTTAAAGGACCACTTTCCCACTCTACCCTGATTAAACGAGCATCAGGTCATCTGATTGGAAGCAGGATTGAAATGTTCTCCAGTACTAGTACATTTTTTTCCTGAGTGCTGTATCTCCCTCCTCCTCTGGGCAAGCTAAGCACTAAGGGAAACCTCCAGGGTTTCAGCGTCTGGTTCTTGTAGCAAGCTGAGGAAAGTTAAATGCCAAGTGCTACCTGCACTGCCTAGGCATTCCAGCAGCTCGCTGAATTCACCTCAGGGAGGCTCAGAAGAGGGGCAGCGTCTAGAGAGTGGCAAGGAAAGGGACAAACCCGGAGCGTGAGCTGGTTCCTGGGGGCTTTGCAGTTAGGACAAGCCAGGAAACCGAGGCCCAGCAAGAGTAGCTTCCGGAGACAGCCGGCACGTCACTGCCCAAGGACCGTGGGCCGAGTCGGTGTGGTTTGGCTGCTGCACCTACCTGTGTCTCCTCTCTTCTTCCCCCGGCCAGTCCTGTGGTTACGGCACCAAAGACGAGGACTATGGCTGCGTCCCCTGCCCGGCGGAGAAATTTTCCAAAGGAGGCTACCAGATATGCAGGCGCCACAAAGACTGTGAGGGCTTCTTCCGGGCCACCGTGCTGACGCCGGGGGACATGGAGAACGACGCCGAGTGTGGCCCTTGTCTTCCTGGGTAAGCACAGGCCCTCCTGGCAAACCCGGGGATGCTTTCTGCAGAAAACCCCAAGGGGCTATGGGCAAGGACCTTGGGAACAGGGGGTCATGGACACTGCAGGCCTCAGTGCAGCCACACACCTGGCCTTGGTCCTGTCCCGCAAGGGGCAGCATCCAGGACGGAGAGTCCTGGCCCCTGCGGTGGACAGGCAGCCCATCAGGCTCTGCCTCTGTGTCTCCTAAGTAGCCATTAACCATCCTAATATCTTCTGACCACCAAAAGGAAGCAAATTGCTTGAATACTTACAGTAGAGTAACACATGTGAAACACTTTGGGAAAAAGAAAACTAAAAGTTCATGCAAAAGCAGTATTTTTAGTATTCTGGGAACACTGTGGGGACGCTATCAATAAAAATATTTGAGTCATATGATACTATAATCCCACCAAAATGATTATGCATCAGAGATTTTCCAAAAAAAAAAAAAAAACTGAAAATGCAATTAGCCTGAAAGAGAGAAAGAAAATCTTCCTTTTTCCAGGCAGGACACCTCAGCAAGTTCTGCCAGGGACCAGGAAAATACACCGTCAATCCCCAGAAAATCCTGAGCCACGGCTATTGCTGCTTCCTCCCCCTAGTGGCCACAACGCATAATGCTTTGCAAAGGCTACAAATAGAGACTAAAAATAAAAGCAGTGGTGGTGTCCCTGGTACAGCTGGTACAGGTGGGAGAGGTGGCGGCAGTGATGAGGCCGGTGGGGATGGGGGAGATGACCACAGCTCAGTGCATAAGGCACACTCAGAGTGTCTTAGGAGTTGCAGAAGGACTTCTCACCTCATGGCTGGGGAGGTAGTGTCAGCAGGGGTCTTGGGAGATTTGTGGAGGTGATACCTGGATGAGTTAGGCTAAGAAGTAGGACAGAGGCCTACAGGTGGAGATGCTGACGCCAGAGCTCAGAGGGCTGGGCAGCTGGGCAGCGCCTGGGACTCTGATTGGGTCCCTGTGGCCAGAGCAAGAGTTGCACACCTGGAGGTGTGCACAAGCCGGGGAGGAGGGCAGGGACCAGATGGAACCAGGCTCTGGAAACCACCGCTGAAGACTTGAACCTTCAGCTTGAAGCCGATGCAGGTCAGCACACAGACTGCTGAGCCAGGTAGGACACAGCAGGACGTCCTTCTGGAAGCTTCTGGAAGCAGCGAGGGACATGGCTGAGCCCGGAAAGCCTAGAGCCCTGGGACCAGGGGTGCTGTGGGCAGGGAGAGGGCTGGAGCAGAGGCGTTGGGGGTAGAGGAGAGGAAGAATCTGAGAGCCCCCTGAAAGAGAGCACTGACCGGGGTGCAGACGGCACACAGCAGGGGAAAGAGATTCAGAAGAGGACACTCAGGTGTCTCCGTGGCTGGCCGTGTGGAAAGAGTGCCACTTGATCAGCCGCAGAAGGCAGGAGCCGGAGGGTGCTTGGTGGGGAGGTGGAGGGAGGATAGAGGCTGTGTGTGTGGAATTTGAGGGGACTGTGGGACATCCAGACCTAGATAGCTAACCCAGAGACGGCCTGAAGCTCCAGGTGGAGATTCAGAGCTGGGAAGTCAGCTACGCACTCAGGGTGCTGGGAGCAGCTGTGGTAGAAGAGTTCCCCAGGAGGCAAATTCCCCCTGCAGGGAGAGGGCGGGTGCAACACGCAACCTCGCTGATCTGTGCTGCTGGCTCTGGCCTGGCTACGGTTCAGATCCGAGAAGGTGTCCATCAGTACTCGAAGGCCAGGGCTGACTCTGTGGCCTGAAGACAACGTGCTTGGTTCTGATACATTTACTAGAAAGTGTGTAATGTCTAAAGAAGTTGGACGCTGGAAGGGTGGTGAGCTCCCTGCCTCTGGAAGGATTCAGGTGAATGTGGACGGCCATCTGCAGAATTAGTGGGCAGGCTGCTCTCTGGGCTTTTAACATTCTTTCCAGTGCTGGAATCTTGATGCCTCCTGCCCTGCTCCGTGGGACAGTGACCTGCTCAGTCCACACCACCCTCAGCACCCAGGACATAGCAAGGCCCAGCACACTTGCTGGGCAGGCAAGGGACCCAGTGCAGAGACACCCTCAGCACGCGCCTCAGAGCGCCTTCGCACTGCACAGGGGTGCAGACGATGGGAACAGTTTCCAGGCTGGCTCCACGATGTGCTGTGTCTGCTCAAATCATCGCTGCCAGTCCCAACGCCACCAAAATTGAAAGCCCCCGCCTTGCCTCCGAATCCCAGCTCCTCTTAGGGGCTCATGCCGCCCCCTCTACTGCAGACAAGGCTTCCCCACGGTAGGACCCTGGAGGCCCCACTTCCTCTTGTGAGGCTGTCATGCTGTGTCACAGAGGAGGATCACAGGAGTCTTGGCAGACCGGTGTGACTAGCTCCATGAAAGGCTGCGTTCATTCCTGAATCCGAGTGGCTGTCAGGCTACGGATGCGAATTGCCTCGTCCCAGTGTGTCCTGGGCCCCGGCCGCTGCCTGTGGTTTGGTTTGGCAGGTACTCCTCCTGATGCTCCGCCCTCCCGGCTGTGTGGCCAGGACACTCGCTGAACAATGAGCAGCACCTGAGGCTTTCCTGTGGGGAGAGGTTGTGTGGGAGGACCTGGGAACCGAAACAGGAGGAAAGCAGGAGAGAGAGGTTACGTTTCCCCACCTCTCCAGGGCGCCTTCTCACCCCGGAGGATTCGCCAGCCGTGGTTCTGGATGGCAGGGGCAGGGGGCAGGACACAGCGGCTCTGCACTCGTTCTGCACACCAACATGGCTGGAGGAAAATGAACATCTGGGAACCTGCGGCGTCCCTTACAGGCATGAGAGTTCTGAAGAAAGGAACTCTCTGGGAAAATCTATATCTACTGACTGAGAGAAAGTCCGTCCCTAAACAACAGATCGTAGGGGACCCAATTAAACTGACTCTTGTCCTGGGCTGTACACCTTAATCAACCGATATAGAACAGAGGTCGGGGGACCTAGGAAGAAAGCCAAATATGGATCAAAATGTAGGAAATTAGACCTTTCCAGAAAGACGAAGGGAGCAGACACTCTGTAGCTGGGCCAGAGATCCCTAAATGAACACCTGATTTCGGGTTGGTGACAAGCTCAGGCAGAAAAAGACAGGCACGTGTTCCTCGTTGCTGTGCAGCCCAGGATGAGAGACCCAGGTGTAAGCCACACCGTGCGGAGTTTAGGCTAGTCCCACAGAGAGAACCTAACATTTAGAAATGTTGTGTGCAGTAGTACGTGCTAGAAAACGGTGGCTTCTCCTTGTCAGGAGGCACTGAACACTCACGGGGTGAGGAAGCACAGTTTCATAACAGCCTCTTGGAGCCAATGTGTTTTTAAAAGTTTATCACCGGCCAGGCACGGTGCCTCAGGCCTGTAATTCCAATGCTTTGGGAGGCCAAGGCAGGTGGATCGCTTGAGGTCAGGACTTCGAGACCAGCCTGGCCAACTGGTGAAACCCCGTCTCTACTAAAGATGCAAAAATTAGCCAGGCATCATGATGCATGCCTGTAATCCCAGCTACTTGGGAGGCTGAGGCAGGAGAATTGTTTGCACCTGGGAGGTGGAAGTTGCAGTGAGCCAAGATTGCTCCTCTGCACTCCAGCCTGGGTAACAGAGGGAGACTCTATCTCAGGAAAAAAAAAAAGAAAAAGTTTATTACCTTTCAATATTCCTTAACTGAGTGACTGGATAGGTTGCATAGCTGTACCCATGCACATGACCCCCACGGATGAGGGTGGCCAGCCTGTGACAGAAGGTGCCTGGGTTCCCAGGACAAGCCAAAGACGCAGTTGTGGGACAGAGCCACCGCCCTCCCCATGCTCAGAATGTAGTGGCCCCAGTGGGCACCCATCCTACGGCCGGGTGTTCTGCACCCACCGTGTGGCCGTGGAGCATCACCCATGACAGAGAGCAAGCCCGGCACCTGGGGTGTGAACGAGGATGGGCAGAGAGGCCTTCTGGGGCCTCTGTCCACCTCAGCATCCAGGTTCCACAGAGAAGAACTTGGCATCATTCATTCATTCAGCCAGTGTTTACAGAGAACCATCCTTCCTCAGTACCTAGCACAAGGTCCAAGGAAATATAGATGTGAACAAGGCTTGCCCTGGAGGGCCTCCGAGTCCAGGAGCGGGACCAATCCCCCTAGGTGGGAGAGAGAATGCCTGGAGGCAGAGTGAGAAAAGGTGGAGGAGGCGAGGGACGAGGAGGTGACGCACGGAGGAGGTGAGATGGGGAGTAGGGGGCCGCCTAGGAGCCCGAGATGTTTCTCAGAAGTGTCAGCTTGGGCTGGGGACATTAGAAAGCTGCAGGTGGACCTGGTCTGGCCCACATGCCCGTGAGCTCACAAGGCCAGGTGGCAGACACGTGCCTTGGCCTGCCTCATAGAAAGAGGTGGCTTCTGGAGGGCAGAAGGTAGATTTGCGAGAGGCTTAGCTGTAAAACTGGCTGTCGTGGCTTCTCTGGGAGGTGTTTTGAGATTGGTTAATTAATGTTTACAAGATACACAGGGATCTGAGGATAAAGGGCTTTGAGGGAGAGCAGGCAATTATGGTCCTAACATTACTGGTAACAGTCCAGGCTCAGGAAGGCAGGAGCCCACAGACCCCCGCGCCAGGTTGCTGCTTAGCACTACCATCAGCAGGGGCCTCTGTGGGGCCTGGCTAATAAAAAAGAGATTAGAAAACAGTCATGGAAATATTCCTTCTCATCCCAGCTCTTGAATCGCAATAGGGAAAGCATTGGCGCCACTCATGTTATTTAATCAACTTCTCACCTTGTGACAAATGGCTCTACGCTCTCCGCTAAGCATTTGTTTATGGAAAATGGGCCCAGCCTAGGGTAGGAGCCACAGCCTGCAGAGGGAAGGTGCCCAAGCTGGGAGCCCCAAGGAGAGGGTGGTGCCAGCAGAGGCTGTGCCTGGGAGTGGGGCAGCCGCAGGGAGCACAGGCACAGGGCAGACCCCTGAGAGCAGGACCTGAGCCGTCATATAGCCACGGGGCTGGCGCTGTGACATCGGGGAGCTGAAAGACAAAATGGAGCATCACTGGGAGCTGAAGGACTTCAAACGGAGCTACTGTGAATGATTTGTTCCTTGCGCTGTATGTGCAACCCCAGCGTAAAGGCTTTGCTCTTCCAAGGGTGTCTTCCGTAAAGTGCTTCCTGAGGAGGAGGTACTTGCAACCTGGTTGTGTTGCCAGCTGTCATGAGGGCCACCTGCATTGACCTCTCTGGACAGCACAACCGTCTCCTGCAGCTGCACTCTGGTGGCATTCAGCAGCAATGCAGATGGCCTGGGAGTTCCACGTGTCCCAGAGGCACACTCACGCCCGTAATCCCAGCAGGCTGCAGGCTCTGGGGAGGGCGCCCACCGAGGGCGTGTTCCTCCTCCAGGAGGGTCTGGCCTTGGTTGGTGTGACCCCTGGGGGGCTAAGCAGGGCCTACATGTGGGGGCACAGGGATATTTCTGGTGGATGATGGTGATGGCACACACACTAAACACAGCCACCAGAGAGAGGAATCAGAAAGGGGCTGAGATTAAAAGAAAGGCCCACACTGGCGGCTCAATATTGTTAAAAGAATGCTCCATTTTAATACAGGCTGAAACCCCAAGGAAACTGAGTGGACAGAGCGGGCGGCTGACTGGACGTGGCCTCATGCCCAACTTGGATTGTGGGCCTGCAGACCGGCCGCCGTGCTCTCTGTGCCAGTCCCTGCCTGCGTGCTGTCCAGCTCACCTGTCTCTGTTTTGTCTTGTCTCTCCCCCATAGCTACTACATGCTGGAGAACAGACCCAGGAACATCTACGGCATGGTCTGCTACTCCTGCCTCCTGGCGCCCCCCAACACCAAGGAATGTGAGTGTCTTTGTCCTCCCACCAGCACGGTATTTGTTCAGCACGGGTCTCTTTCACTCGAGAGGGTGTAGGAAGCAGCCGGTCCTGGCACCTGGACAAGGTGAATCACAGTAACAGCATTAGTGAAAGTGTGCCCGTGGCCTGTCTAGACAGGTCTATGAAGGCAGGGAGGTCTGCCACAGCTGAGCCTTGAGTCAGAGGCTGAGGTGCTAGTGCAGGTTGGCCACCAGCTACCTGACAAGTCACTTAACCTCCATGAGCCTCGGTTTTCTCATCTGTAATGTGGGGGTACTAACATCTGACCTACCAATCTCACATGGTTATTGTAAAAACCAAGGAGATCACAGAGGCGAAGTACTACTATTTTGCAAAGTACTACGAAGCGCTAGGTGAGAATGAGGCCAAGGAAAATATAAATGTGATCACAATTAATGAAACCGATTCCACAAAGCACATGTTAACAGTCTCAGGAGTTTATAATCCTGCCTTGGGGTGTTTCTGTCCTGTTCTTTCAGTCTGGCTTTCATGGGCATCTGTTTATGAGGAAGGGCCAGGTACCTCTGCCTCAGAGGAATGTGCTGGGTGGACTCTTGGATGTATGGTCTGGGAGAGACGAAGGCAGGTAGGACAGGCAGCTGGGAGGAAGCTGGGTGTCTGGTCCCGGGCTGCAGGAGCACTTGCCACCCTCTGGCTCCTTCAAGGGTGGAGGAGCAGCTGACCCTGGGACCCTGCCTCTCTTTGCTCTCCGTAAGGCCCCACCACCCCCGTGTCTCATATTAATGTTATCCAGGAGAAAGAGGGCCTGCATCTTACCACGCTGGAAGGAAGGGAGGAGCAGGAATGGGGTGCAGCATGTCCTCCCTCCTTCTGGTCAAGTCAGGAGGAGGGTTCTGTGGTGTGGGCTGTGCTGCAGGGAGAGCCATTCTGTCCCTTCCAAATCACTGAAGTGCATGAGCCCTGCACCAATGGGTTTGCTCATCTTCAAAACCATTTCCCTTGCCAGCCGTATGCTAATTAATTCACAAATTAGAGGAGGCCGCAGCTCGGCTGCCAGCCTGACCCATGGTGGAGCCAGCTGCCATGGCCCACGTGTCCTCTGTGGGGATCTAGGCTGACTCAAGGCCAGATCATTCTGGGATGAAGAACCAGTCTGGAAAGATGTCAGACACTCCCTACCTATTCGGAAAAGCATCTTTGCCTGTGGAACCTGGGAGAAGAGCAGCCCTCCTCAGGGGCCCTTCTGTTCGAGAGTTCTCACACGGCGCAGCCTTCCGTGTCCAATGTGGCAGCCAGAATAGACTCGAGTTGCGGCAGGGGCGCCTCTCTAAGTCCAGCAGTGAGGTCTGTCACATGTGGAAAGCAAGCACAGTCCCCTGAGTCCTGAAGATTTTAAAGACGAGCGCACCCCACTTCCACCTCCTGCCCTTGCCTGCTTAACGGAAAGCCGGCTCCCAGGAAGGCCTTGGGGTAGGGCCTTAGAATCCAGCCCTGAGGGAGATCAGCGGAGAAATAGACAGTCCTGCTGTGTTCTCGTTAGAAGCCCCTTGGGCAAGGCCCCAGGCCTCAGCTTGCCCATCTGGGAAATGGGGAGATGCGGCCAGCTAGGCCTTGGGGTGGATGGACCCCTGCCTGGGTCGGGGCCTCAGTGTGAATGCCAAACAGAGTGATGCTCTCCACCTCTGGGCCTGCACTGGTCTCAATCCAGAGATCTTTTTACCCCGGGCACCTGCCTAGCAGTCAGCAAAACATCAGAGCTAGAAAGCCCCGTGGAGTCACTGAGACCCACACACAGGACCGTCGTCAGCAGCCTCACCCTGGACAGCCAGGGATTCAGGAAACATTTCATCAGGAGTCCGAAATTGCCAACTGGCTGCCCAGGTCCAGCAGGCCCTGTCTTCCTCAAACCCATGGTTGTGGTCAAGAGCACCTCCTTCTCCCCTCTGTTTTCTTGATTTACCTGGGCCCTCGCCAAACGAAATTCACATCCTTGGTACTCTGTAGCAACAAATGGTGGATTATGCAAACCACAGTCAGACTTGCCAAGAGCCCCTGACTGAGGATGACACACACCTTAGGAGAGCTGCAGCAGACAATGGGTCGCAGCTGCAGGGGAGGCACCAGCCAGGAGTGAGCCCAGGTCAGTGCCAGGGTCTCCCCAGCCTAGGAGTGCCCACAGTGCTCCCCCACACCTCCTGGACTCGAACCCCACGCTGAGGCACCTGTGCAGTGCAATCACCTCCTATCCTAAAAGAGATGGCGGCTTCTCTGCATCTCTGTGAAGCAGAGGGTTTCAGGGGGGTGATTCTCAGGGGAGCACCATGGGAGTTTCTTACGACTCCAATTGCTGGGCCCCCCCTCCCCCGATTCATCAGGTCTGGATGAACCAGAGAATGTACCTTTTTAGCAAGTTTGGGAACCACTAGGGTAGGTTATGAGCCTGCTCTGGAGCTTCAGTGCCTGAGTTAAACGAATTATCTCACCTCCCGGAGCCTCCATGTCCTCTCCTGCCCAGGGCAGCTCCCAGTGGTGCCCACTGCCCAGGCTGCTGTGTGGCTCAGGGGCAATTTTGCCCACCGTATCCACCCAGAAGCACATCGTGAGTGCCCCAGGGTGTTAATTAATGTGATGCAGCCCTCAAATAATCCTGAGGAGAAATGAAAAAGCAACGTATATTTTCCTTTAAAATGGAATAAAATCATTCCAGTTTCTGGGGTTGCCAAGTAACAAGAGGGAAATCAAAGAGGACAGACGTCAGATTGTAGATCAGTCCTGGCTGTGGGTTGGTTGTCACCTTGGATTAAAACATGCTCACCCCCAGCTCTGAGCCTGTACTCAGTGACTGCAATACTGTGGAGCCCTGTAGCCTGGTGAAAAGAGATGAAAAGGCCTTCGGTTACTTTTCAGTTAAATTACAGAGCAAGACGTACTTGGGGCGACCAGAGCTTTCTGGTTTTCTGTTTTCCCTGCACCATCCTGCATAAATGGATCTGTGTTGTAATGACAGTGCGGGCAGCGAGGTCAACACGTTGCCCTGGCGTAATAGGGAGGAAGATAGGGTCCAGCATCAGGCTTGGGTTTCATTACAAGTGATCACCCCTGGGAAAGTTTCTCATCTGCAGACTGGGGACATGATTGTTGGGAGGAGAGGTGTGATGGCGTGGGCGATGCATGTGGAGTGCCCACTCCAGGGCCAGGCGCTGGGCACTGACCAGAGATGAAGTATCCCAGCCCAGCAGGTGGCATGGCTCCACAGCCCGTGAGCTGGCCTGCATTTTCCTCACTGACCAGGGGTGCAGACGGCACACAGCAGGGGAAAGAGATTCAGAAGAGGACACTCAGGTGTCTCCGTGACTGGCCATGTGGACATGGTGCCACTTGCTCAGCTGCAGAAGGCAGGGGCAAGAGGGTGCTTAGTGGGGACGTGGAGGGAAGATAGAGACTCTGTGTGTGGAATTTGAGGCGACTGTGGGAAATCCAGACCGAGATAGCTAACCCAGAGATGGCCTGAAGCTCCAGGCGGAGATCCAGGGCTGGGAAGTCAGCTACGCACTCAGGGTGCTGGGAACACTGGGCAGAAGGCCTCCCCATGAGGCAGCTTCCTAGTGCGGAGAGAGGGCGGGTGCACCACGGAGCCTCGTCGACCTACACTGCCGGTTCTAGCCTGGCTACGGTTCAGACCCGAGAGGGCGCCCCAGGGCCTGGGACACTGGGCAGCAGAAATCCCTCCCTAGAAAGAATGGTCAGGGTCGGGTGCGGTGGCTCACCCCTGAAATCCCAGCACCTTGGGAGGCCTAGGCGGGTGGATCACCTGAGGTCAGGGGTTCAAGATCAGCCTGACCAACATGGAGAAACCCCATCTCTACTAAAAATACAAAATTAACTGGGCATGATGGCGCATGCCTGTCATCCCAGCTACTCAGGAGGCTGAGGAGGAGAATCGCTTGAACCTGGGAGGTGGAGGTTGCGGTGAACTGAGATTGCGCCATTGCACTCCAGCCTGGGCAACAAGAGCGAAACTCTGTCTCTAAATAAGTAAATAAATAAATAGCAGTCAGAGGGTTAAGATTGCAATAGCCTGGCAGCTGTTTTCTTATCATCAGTGATGCAGGCCCCCGAGGCAAAGCCCGAGTAGGCTGGCCTTTTGGAGAAATCTCTGCTACTCTGCGTACTCCATGGTTTCCATCTCTCGTGCCTGGGTGCCCTACTGTGATGCGAAACAGCAAGCACCTCCCCTCAGGTGTGATGCGGGCTTCCCAGCCTCCCAGACACCAGCGTTCAGCTGCTCCTGGCGCAGAGCCTCTCAGACCTGACTGCGCACACATCTCCAGGGACCCGCTGAGCAATGGATTCTGACACAGCGGGTCCCGGTGGGCCCGAGACTCAGCATTTCTAGCAGGTTCCCATGGAATCCCACTTGGAGCAGCTAGGGAGTCTCTGCTGAGTCTGCCCACAGTTCAGAATCTGCCACTAGGGGGTACACAGCCAGTGCCACAGTCTGGGACCCCTTGTCGACAGCTGTAAGAGTCAATAAACAGATCATTCCTAAAAACGCAATCTTTTACCCTCTGCAGAGAACCCCAGCCAGCCTCTAATGCATACTGGTGAGGTTCCAAATTGTGTGGATTAACAGACCTCAAAGGCCCCCATATGAGCTATTGTGGCTGTGAATGGAGGCGTAGCTCCCTCCGGCCATGTGCTTCTGGCTGGCTGAGGCTTCCTGGGGAAGGGGAACACAGTGCCTGGCAGGACGCTTCCCGGAGTCACCGCTGCCTCAAACTCCACGGCGAGCTAGGCAGAACCAGTCCCTGCTCATTTTCACCACCGCTGCCTCGAACTCCACGGCGAGCTAGGCAGAACCAGTCCCTGCTCATTTTCACTTTGTTTATTTATTTATTTTTTTTTTGAGACAGATTCTTGCTCTGTCACCCAGGCTGGAGTGCAGTGGTGTGATCTCGGCTCACTGCAACCTCTGCCTCGTGGGTTCAAGTGATTCTCCTGCC